GGGTTTGGAGGGGGGCAGAGTGGGGGCTGGGTGGGTGCCTGCATCCTAACCCTTTGGGAGCTACATACAGCCCACAGTCCAGTTGTAGAGTAACTGTACAGTAGGTGTATATGCAGAATATGCTTGGGATTAGACTGATACACTTTGTAAGGTCTCCAGAGCAGGGGACTGTGTTCATAGTATGTCTTGTTACAGCAGCATGTGCACCACCAGTACATAATGGGTTTAGTAGTACTAACATGAAAGCAATGGGATGTACTTGTAACTTTTAGGCAATATCATTTGCTAAAAGGCAGTACTTCTGAACTTTTTGACATGGAAATTAGCTGCAATAAAATTAATCTATAAATTTGTTATGTGGTATTGTTTTCTCATGAAAAAATCTAGGTTGCAGAGTCTTTACTTCAGTCAGTTAATGGTTTTAGCAACTCAGTAGTCCCATTAAAGTCTGTGGAAGCTCAACCTGTGAGTAACCACAGTTTTTAGTCTAGCATTAGTAGTTGTGTGGAATGAAGCTTGTGACTTGTTCTTCTGTCTTTTTTGGACATGTGAATGGTACTAGGAGACCTCTCTATGATCTTCCTCTCCTCATTTTTCCACTTTTATTCTTATCTTCTTTCCCTATGTTAGGACAATCTTATCCTTATGGGCTATGCAATCTCCCACAGCAGCTTGTCTATGAGTCACCTAAGTTAGCTAGAGGCAGTGACACGAAAGGATTATAGAACACTTTGTATCCCATCTCTCATCCTGCTATTGTGGACGTAGCTTCCACTGAGTGTGCTATTCCTACGGGACCTGAAAAAAAACTAAAGCATGGATCCCAAGTGTCTAATTCGATCCCATGGATTGGTTCTACTTGAAAAGCCACACCAGCTATTAGCTGGCTTTTTTTGGTATATTTTTAAACTGCATAACTAATGCTTATTTCCCCTAGTAAATAGCCAACATAACTTTGTAGAAGGAATTCTATGATAATGATAATGGAATGATTGACATGACAGTCTCTACCAAATTAATGAAAGCAAATGTAAGCCAAGACAGAATTTGGTCCATCAAACCAACACAGCATCCTTGTGGCTGAAGTACCTAACCATCGCATCATTGGAATAAGAACTTGAAATGTGCTGGTTCACAGTGCATTCTGTTCAGCAGTATTGTCTCTTTGAGTCAGAAGTATCAGTGGCAGCATATTAGATTCAGGTCCTAAAGATCCATAAATAACAGTGTGAGCCAAAGTAAAAGTGTGCAGGGATACAAAGTAGGCTCTTGCCCAGCATGCCTTGCACATACCAGTTTGTTGGACTAGATCAATTCTCATCGTGCTTTAATTCAGGAAGGGAGAGAGAGCGCCATGCATTTTCAAAGAGAAATAAATGGGTACTGAGGTCTCTGACGTCAAGTCTGATAAAAAATGTGAAATATTTACTTGACTCACAGTTGGGTTTTATTGATTCCACTGAAGGATTGTAATGATTCCTTATTTCTTTTTTGAAGCCTGGAGCAAGAATGATAAGGAAGTTATCAGAATGCTGCATAGCTTTCTGCCATTCCTGCTCTAATACAATCCTTATGTGTGATACTGAATGGTGGAAACAAAGGTTAAATATCTACTTTTTGTAAAAAGTAGAACTAAAAACAATCTTTTAGCAGATATTCCACTCTTCTGTTGTGACCATGGGCAGAAATCAAA